AGGGAGGGAGGGAGGGAGGCCTCATCTGCAGAAGGAAATGCCTCCCCGAAAGTCAATGCACAGTGACACTGACCAAGTTCCCCCTTAGAAACCCTGATTTCTTTGTCCCCTCACTTGATAAATTAGTAACTAAACTATCGAAAACAGAGAGAAATTGATTATAAAGTACTAAGAAGGAGATCTGAAAACATGAAGCCCAGCCTCCCATCCTTTCTCCAGAAATCTTCGGGTCTGAACTGGAAGAGCTGTGGGAGCTGAGTCACTTCTGTCTCCTCAGCTTCACTGAGATACCTCACACACCCAGTAATTCACCCATTTAAAACACACATTCAGTGCTTGCTCGCACAGGCATCAGCAGCACAGGCATCGCCACCATCAGCTTCAGAACATTCTCATCACCAGAAAGGAACTCTGTCCCCATGGGAGCTGAGTTACTTCCATGGCCCAAGTCCAGAGGGGTGTTTCTCAAAGTGATTCTAGGACGACCTGAACTGATGAGGGAGCTTTCAAAAAGGATGGTTCAGCCTGCCACTCTCTGGGAGAGGGCCCCAAGAACCTACATGTTAACAAGCATCCCCGATCCCTGCGCACATCTGGCTCCACCAAGAGCCCGCCCATTCTGTGCCTGGACCCTGTCACAGCCTGGTGAGGCTAATGGGCTTCCCAGAATACCATGCAGAAAATAAAATACGTAAGACTACAAAGAAAACCAATTACACTAAAATACAGTGATCAAAACAGTTGTTATATTCAGTATAATTGTTACCTTGTAATACAACTCTTTGGTGAATACATTTAAATAACAGACTTAACGACAGGACTAACAACTTCAGTGCTTTTTAGGGAAGGAAGCACATAGTCAATCTTCTGACCTATCTTCCACACCTGGACTATGATATGAACAGACTGGTGATATTTATTTATTTATTTACTCACCCGAGGATATTTTTCATTGTTGAGAGAAAGAGCAAGCAAGAGGGAGAGACAGAGGTATCGATGTAAGAAAAGAAACATCAGCTGGTTGCCTCACACATGTGCACAGGCCAGGGATTGAACCCACAACCTGGGTATGTGTCCTGACCCAGGACTGAACCCACAACCCTTTTGTGCACGGGACAATGGTCCAATCAACTGAGCCACCAGGGCCAGGGCATACTGGCGATTTCTGTTAGTGGCAAAGTCCCAGTTACTGTGATGAACACTAGCTCGTTGCCTATAATTCATAATGGAGCGAAAGGCTATTTTTTTTTTTTAATGTATTATTATTGATCTGAGAGAGAGGAAGGGAAAAGGAGAGATGTAGAAACATCAAAGAGAGTCACTGATCAGCTGCCTCCTGCACACCCCCAGCTGGGGATCGAGCCCGCAACCCAGGCCTGTGCTGTGACTGGGAATTGAACTGCAATCTCCTGGATCATAGGTCAATGCTCAACTGCTAAGCCATGCTGGCCAGGCCGAAAGGCTACATTTCACTGAGGTTTGTAAAAACAAAGGTATCATTTTTTTCTCTCATCTAAATTCATGGCCACCCTGCCAGACTCCCAGGCAGCAGCTGGACCTGTGGTTAAGAGCCCCTGCTAGGATGAGCGTCCTTGTGCTTGTCCTGGGGGTGGGGGTGCCCTGATTCTTTCCAGCCCAAGCCTAACTGCTTATCTCTTACATTCCACACGAAACCCCAGCATCCTTCTGACAGCATCCTCTCTGACCTCCACCATCGTGGTTTTGTTTCTAGTACTTGCCACCAAGAGAATATTACCATCCCGCTTTTTAGTGCCTACCGTGTGCCAAGTCACTGTCTTAAGCACGTATGCATATTCACTCATCTAAGAACCTCAATGACACTTAAATGTAGATACTCTTATTACTTTTCCTTTTTTACAGACAAATAAACTACAGCCCAGTATATTACATAATTACCCAAGACTGCAGAGTGCGGAGGAGGGGACCTGGGAGTCTATCCTAGGCATCTTGGTCCTGATGCCTGAGACCCCTAAATCACAAAGTGACACCCCCTTGACCATACGGAGAGCCTCAGCTAATGCTTTTAGGACACAGAATGAGTGGACAATACAAATTCAAATATCCGACTACAAAACCAACAGAGAACACCCCTGCACTTTTAGGGCTAAGACGGCCTAAGTGTATGCGCAGGTCAGGGAAAGACATGGCCTACAGCTCTCCCAGGGAAACGTACCGGAACTATTAGTAAAGTAGAGAAGAAATTGCAGAGGAACTCCAGAAGGAATGGTTCCGACGGCCGCATCTTCCCATCAATATTAATCATCTTTGGGACTTCTGGAATGAGGCTTATTGCGGCTTTGAAAAAGGCATCAGCTGCAAGACAGAAAAAAAGTCCGGGCATGAAAACTCTGAAGGAGTGCAGGGTCTGCCTTTTCCTTCACAGCCTGGAGGCCAGTCCTGAGAGTCACATGGAAGTTGGCCCAGTACAGCAGGCAGGTCCCAGAAAAGGATTCTGCAAACCATAACTGACTTGGTAGAATATTCCAGGTTGAGAGGGCACCACTGTTGCCTCCCAACTCTCCCTTCTTCTCTTTTTCCTTCTTTGAGAAATTTGGTCAAAGAACCTCAGTCAGACTGGCTTAAGACTATTAAGCGAAAAAAGCAAGTGGCAAATTTTTACAGAAAGCCTAGAAATCATAGTCACGTGGGCTGAGGGCTCAACCTGGATTGTTTCATTGACCCTCCCATTGACCACATGGGGAAGGTATGGGAATAGGGCCCACTTCACAGACGGGAACCAAGGTGCAAGAGAAGTGGTTGCTTCCACATCAGTGTGTGCAGGAGGCGCGAGCACTGGTGCGGGAGCGTGGCTCAAACTCTGATCCATCTGCACCTACTCTAGTGCACACATTTGTTAAAGAAACAACAATCGAAATGTCTGAAGGAATGTGCACGCGCGCGCACGCACACACACACACACACAGAGCTTTAGAGACTTCTGACTAGGTAATAGTTCCAGAGAAACGCCCAAGAAATGAAGATATTTTTAAAACTATGAAATAGTCTATAAAACAAAGACTTCAAAGGGTGAAAGGAAGGAAGGGAGGGGAAAGAAAGCGAGAAAGAGGGATGGAAAGCATAGAAGATGGGAGTGAGGGAGCAGTGGGGGGATGGAGACAGGGAGAAATGCATGGGGAGAGACAGAAGGACTGGAGGTAGGGGGGTGAGACAAAGACGGAGGGCTCCTTGTACAACTGCCAAGGTATTAACTGTGAGAAAAAGTGTCAAGGTCAAAACAGACAAAACACTGACCCAACAAATGAAATTTTAAACTGCCTGACAAGACCAAACATTTGTATGGTCCAAATATACTTCCAGCCCAAAAGGGCTTCAGCGATGTCAAGAGAACACGGCGCTGGTTAGGTAGCATTCGAAATGAAAACGGGACCCCGTCCAGCAGAGCAGGGGGGCAAATGCAGCAGCGCCTGTCCTCTGCGGCAAAGGCCTGCGCACAAGAGGAGCAAGTGTGTGCAGCTGGGGAGCAGGCTCTGCCTTCTCTTCCTTCCTCCAAGGAAACAGCACAGCATGGAAAGAGCTTCCTGCACGCAGCTGCTCGCCTCTGCTTTGGAAGCTTCCTTCCCAGCCTGTGTCTGCAGCCCCACAGTCACAGCTTTACCACATTCCCCTAAGCAAATTCATGACAGGCGCTCCCCCGGACACTGCGCACAAGGGAGAAAGTGGGGCAAAGCTGGCACGAGTGTGGCGATGAGAACAAAGTACCCACGTTAATCTCCTCCTGTTACTGGGCCGTGTGCGCTCTGGTCTAGGGGGACATGAAGCAGCTGCTCTCGATCTCGTTGGGACGAAAGAGTTTAAATATAGGGCATCTGGGAAAAGATTTTGTATGTCTTTTCTGATAGAAAGTCTTCTGATGATAGAAAGAAAACTGCCCATGTATAAAATCTAGTCTGGGAGACTTCTCAATTTCATTTTAGTACTTAGAACTCAAATCCTACTACATATGAAAACAGCTTTTCCTCCTAGTTTAGAGTTCAGAGTAATCATGTCAATATCACATAACAATTTCTTTTATGGCTATTAAAAGCCACACAAGGCAATTCAAGATAAAATAGGTTCGATATGTGTGTGTTTTTAAAAAGACCTACATATCCCAGACCAGACAAGAAAAAGCTAAAGGAGTTTATCACCACCAAACCAGTATTTCAAGAAATGTTAAAGGGACTTCCTTAAAAAGATAAAAATACAAATAATAAAATGACAATAACTATGTACCTATCAATAACTACCAATCAAAACACAGAGGGTGGCTGAATGGGTAACAAAACAAAAACCCTTACTTACGCTGTCTACCAGAGACTCTGGATCGAAAGACACACCCAGACCGAAATTGAAGAGATGAAAAAAGGTATTTCAGGCAAATGAAAATGAAAAAAAGCTGGGGTAGCAATACTTATATGAAACAAAATGGACTTTGAGATAAAGGCTATAATAAGAGACAAAGAAAGACATTTCATATACAATAGCCAGGATATGGAAGCAACCTAAACGTCCATCAATATACAAGCAGATAAAAAAGCTGTGGTACAGCCCTAGCCAGTTTTGCTCTCCGAAAAAGCAATGGAAAAACTATCCTCGGGTGAGAATTAAATAATAATAATACTCAAGCTGTGGTACAGATATACAATGGAATATTACTCAGCTGTAAAAAGAATGAAATCTTAACCAGCTGCAACAACATGCATGAAACAAGAGGTTTATGCTAAATAAAGCAAGTCAGACAAAGACAAATACCATATGATTTCGCTTATATGTGGAATCTAAAATCAAAATAAACAAAACAAAACAAATTCATAGATACAGAGATCAGACTGATGGTTGCCAGAGGGGACGAGGGGACTGAGGGTGGGGGGATTGAGGGGCTGGGTGAAAAAGTTAAAGGGATTAAGAAGTACAAATTTGCAGTTACAAAATAGTCAGAGGGATGTAAAGGACAGCATATAGTCAATAATATCGGTGCTAGGTGGGTACTAGACTTACCGGGGGCATCACTTTATAAGTTATATGGTGTCTAATCACTATGCTGTACACCTAAAACTAATATAATATTGAATGTCAACTGTAATTTAAAAATTAAAAAAAATTAAAAAGACCTACAGAAAGAGGAGAAATCAGGTTCCAAACCATGAAGACTCATTACCTTGTCCCACTGGGGGAAAGCATATACATCCCTATGCTACTCCTCCCTCCCCCTGAGTCTTCTGAGGTTTCACAGGACAACCAGGTTTCTTTTCCACATCCCATGTAAAAAAATGTAAACAAAAAAGCACTCAATAATTGAATGTATCTGTGGATGAAAAGGGGCCACACACTAAACCTGACACGCTCAGGGAGGCCTGCATGGTGGCCGTACAAACTCAGAGGCCTGAAGTAACCACAAAGGATGGTCTGCAATTGAAACATCTTAACTAGCCGGGCCGGCGTGGCTCAGCGGTTGAGCGTCGACCTAGGATCCAGGCGATCGGGGTTCGATTCCTGGTCAGGGCACATGCCCGGGTTGCGGGCTCGATCCCCAGTCAGGGGCGTGCAGGAGGCAGCCGATCAATGACTCTCTCATCATTGATGCTTCTCTCTCTCTCCCCCTCTCCCTTCCTCTCTCTGAAATCAATAAAGATTAAAAAATAATAATAATAAACCCCCCATCTTAACTAAAAGCAGCTCAGGGCAGGTATCCTGTCCTAGGGTCACCTTTGCTAGGGAAAAAGACTTTACCTTAACTATGCCTTTCCATTTGTCTTTCTGCATCTAGGATAACACACCTGATAACATGCCTTTGCAATAACAAAGAAATTTCCTTTTTTCTGGACCCCTCACCACACTCCACCAGAGCAGAGACCGCAGATCCCCTCATTGTTATCCTGTTAATTGTTGACTGTAAACTATCCTGCACCCACTTATGTAAAAGAAGTGTGTCTGTCATTTTACCTCTTATCCAATCCCAGAGGTTTCCTCGCTTTGCTTTCTCCCACCTCCCTAATCTGTCCCCAGTGGATTTCAGGTAATCCCCTGACATCTCCCCCTTTGATTGTAATGTAAAAAATGAGGTGCAAAACTGCCATTCTCCGGAACATTATCTCAACCCGTTGAGATTTTGCTTCCTGGCAACTGTCATCGGTTTGGCTCAAATAAACTCATAAAAATTCTTATAAGTTTAGATATTTCTTACATTGACAAAGGTTTAGCACATAGTGTTTAGAGACTCAAGGAAAAATCATCAGGTAGACGATGAACGTGGAGGGGACCTGAGGGGTCAGGCAGATGAGGAGTCAACAGCTCTGACACCAAACAGAAGAGTGCTGCCCAGCTGCTCACACACCCGGGCTGTTCTTACGCGGCTTGTGTCTGGTGAACTAGGGGGCACTACAGGGCAGCACAACCGGAACAGCCAGTCACACTGTCCTTGAGGGGCTCTAGGGAGAAGCAAAGCCCAGGGCCCAGGGCTTTATTTAGTGTGAGAATTTTTGTTTTGCTTTTTCCTAAAAACAAACAAAACAAAAACATGAAGCCGCACAGGCTATCTGGTCGTAGTAAACTTGCCTGGCACCTACAACATTCACCATCAAGTCTCTGAGTTCGTAGAAGTGGGAGGAGAGACAGCAGCCTCCAGGGCCTCCACATGCTCTGGGAGTGGCAGCTCACAGGCCATTCCTAATTCGCAGGTGACACCAAACTCACGCACTCCCACGTGGGTCAGCTATTCCTAAACTTGTAAGAGGGAACTAATTTATAAGACTTAAAATTTCTAACATCCAAACTAATCTAATTAATTAACCTAATCTTCATTTTGCACAGGTTTTGGGTGGCAGCTGTTCATTTTTGTTTCACTCTGTTTCATGCTAACTCACCATCCTTACCAAAGTGGGGACAACAAAAAAGTTCCATGTTTACCAACAAATAACGAGAACAGATGACTGCTCGTGTGACTTGCAGTCCTAGTTGGGACGGGGTATCTAGACAATAAGTAAACAAACACACATCAGGTCATGATGATCATCAGGAGGCTTGGCACAGATCATGGCTCCCATTTCCTGCCTGGTCATTAAAGAAAATACAAATATCTGGGGGAAGATCATTCTACAAAGAGGGAATAGCAAATGCAAAGGCTCTGAACCAGAAGGCAGCTTACTATGTTCAAAGAACAGAAAAAAAACCAGCGTGGCTGAAGAGCCGTATGAGGGGGGGACAGAAGGCAGGTCACGCGGGGACTTACAGGCATGGTGTTTAGTTTAACTCCAAATGTACTGGAAAGACACTAGAGTCCCCAAGAGTCTAAACAAAAACCAAGCAGATTTTGAAAAGGTTCATGGATAGCAATCATGGTTTTGGTGTTTTTTACATTGATTTGAGAACGAGAGAGAGAGAGAGAAAGGGGAAGGAGGAGAGAGAGACAGAAACGCTGGTGTGCTGCTCCACTTAGTTATGCATCATTGGTTCCTTCCTGTACGTGCCGACTGAAGATTGAACCTGCAACCTTGGCGTGTTGGGACAACATCCTAACCAAATGGGCCACCTGGCCAGGGCCAGCAGTCATGTTTGAAGACTTGGTGCCCAGAGCTGCCCCAGATGAATCAAGATACAGATCCAGGTACAAGAAGTGCCAGGCCAAGGGCTAAAGAATAGGAAGGACCACTCTGACCAACCCAGAGCGCCCATCCAAACCAAGGAGCAAGTGGTTGGTCACTAACTCTGGCATAAACTGTGATGCCAGGTGGGAGATGAAGGCAGTCGGGGGAGATAACCATGGAAAGCATGAGTCCATCTCATACAGTACTGGAGAAACTCCCAAAGTATTCACTGAGCCTTCTGACGGTTTGACTGCACATACCGTCTATCAGTGGTGAAAGGGCATGGCCTTGGGTCAGATCAGGGACTGAGTGCTGGCTCCTTAGCCATGCCCTCCTCAGTTTTCCCACCTGGGAGATGGGGCACCAGCCAGAGGACGGGCCTTGTGTGGCTGTCAGGAGGATGACGTGAGACAAAATGTGCCAAGAACTTGCCCTGTAACAACTGCTTCATAAGTGGTGTCAGGATTTCTTTCAGTCTTTGTGTTACAGCCTGCTGGACAGGCACCTGCTGTTGGCCTACACTGTCCGGGGCAACAAGAGCATCCTGCAGCAAACACTGTGACCCTCCGCCTGAGGGCATTCTCTTGGCTCAAGTGAGGAGCAGGCCTGAGTGCCAGGAAGTTGATGCCCCGGAAGCAGCCCTCGTCAATGACATATGGGAATAGAGGGTAAATAACCCGTCTTCCCTGCCCCTCAGGTGGGGTAACACCAAAGGCTTTAGACACTCCCTCCCAGAGGTCCCCAGCAGGATGGACCTCAGCTGTTCCCAGCAGTAACTTGCCCATGAGTGTCCCCTTTGTTGGCTTCCTTCCCTTCCCCTCTCTCCCTTCCCCATCACCCTCCTAACACTGGCAGGGATCACCTCCCATATAAACCACTCACGCCTAGCACAGAAATGGATCTTGAGCAAAATTTTCATCGCTAACAGCAAGCTATAGTTAGTATTCATTCTGTACTTACAAGATTCTTCCCGTGTCTTTCTGGGGTTTCAAATAAACAAGTCTCAACAACAACAAACATGAACCTGCTGTGATAAAGCAGTCCTAAGGTCTAAAATTCTCTAGGTACACGTAGCCCTGCATGTCTGAGATAGATTTAAGATGGCCTTTACAGGAAAATCGCCACACTTTGTCATCTGTCTGACTCTAAATGTGTGCATGTCTGATGTGCTTCCTACTAAAGAAATAGATTTAAAACTCGTCATTTATTGATAACTTTTTTTTCTTCCTTAAAGATCATTTCTTTCTCTACACACACACCCACATACCACCCCCACCCCACCCAGTCAGCTTTGCTAAGCAGGCAGGGAGGACCGAGAGGAGGGCTGATGGGCTTACCTTGGGAGAGGCACTGATTGGCCAAGGCCACCTGACCCGCATGCAGGTAGAGATTGAGGCGCGTGAAGATGCCCACCAGGGAAGGGATGGTAATGAAGCAGTAGGCAACACAAGCCTGGGAGAGAGGGGAAATGCAGCAGGTTACCTGGCAAAGCCCTCACAGTAGAGTAGGACTCCTGTTCTTATCTGTTACGTATTTTCAAGCAAAAATAATGTCTTAAAATAATTTCTGCATTTTGAGCCCCAGTTTCTCCTCTTGCCTCTGCAGTATCTTGTCCTTTGGGAAGAGGCGTAAGGAGAGTAACGGTGCATGAAAAATAAATCCGTACCTATCACTGAAGGGAATAAAGAGATAGCACCTAATATCGTAAGTTAAAAAGCAGCTGCTTAAATCAATTAGTTTTAAAAAAGGATGTAATCAGAAAAAGTTGCCACAAAGAGCTGGAGGTAGCTGACAGAGGAGAGAGGATGAGATGAGGAAGGGCAGGGCTGGGATGCTTATGTTTCATTGTTTGCATAGGGTTTCATTTTTTTAAAACATAGATTATGTTGCTTTGATAAAATTTTGAGCAGTACACTCAAGAAACTTAAATTTTATTTCAAAGTTGGGAAGTGATGAATAGGGAAAAAAGGTATCAGACCTTCAGATACATACAGGTTTAACTACAGAAACAACTGAGCTGGCATTCAAAACCCAAATCCATCCCCCAACCACCTCACCATAACGTGTATCAAAACTCAGGCCCCTATGGTCACTTCTTCCAGAAACATTAAGAAAATAGATATGTAAGGAAAAAATCTGGAAAATCAAACCCACTTGGAGCGCAAAGTCTGCGAGTCTTATCTTTAGAACATACCCGGACAAATGCAGCTGTTTTTCTGGAGTGATTCCCCTTCATTACTTTTCTTGTTTCCATTGCCAACCGGTTCACACTCTAGATTTGTTAATAAGTAAAACAGAAATGGTAATGAAACAATGGCTGACTCATGTCTTCCACAGAGATTTGAACATGAACTGCATACAATTCAATGAGAACAGCTAAGTGGGACCAAGGCTGGTTAGCAGTGAACCCTGAAATGCCAAAGGGGTCATAGGCCCAATTCGATCTGGGCTTGCGCAAACATCTCAAGGAGGGTACAAGGAAAGGCACTTACTGAGTTAGTCATGCCTATCCACCAGCATTATAAATGACCATTTTCTGGTTTAATGAACAGCTACGGTTCACTTACTCCATTTCTGGAAATCTCATACACTAAGCTTAAGATCTTAAAGACCTTAAGAGAAATTTCCAAGTCTTAGAGTAAACCATGCAGTTCAGCTGTGCAAAACTAACAATAACCATAAGGAAGGTAATAACAGCAGCCATACCATCACTTACAGCACACCAGGGGCTGTTCAAAGAGCTGCCCATTCATTACCTCGTTTAATCCTCTCAACCTACGAGGTGGGCACTGTTACCTCCCTTCGTCTTACAGATGAAGTCTCTACATTTAGGTCTTAAGTTTAGTGATGCTCCATAACCTGATAACCAGCAAACATATGTATAAAAAAAACACTCTCCTTGAATTTACATGAGGCAATTAAAAAGCCTTAGGGAATCTTTCCATGTACATGAAAAGTTTAGACCTACGGTTCTCAAACTATGGACTGTAAAACCTCAGAGTATGAGGCAAACTCACAGGGGAACCTTTTCTTTTTTTAAGGAAAACAGCAACGCTTGATTGTTGAGCACTGGGCAAAGCACTGGGGTGAGGCAGCTCACAGACTCAACACTGGACTGCATTACATTCCAGTGATGTCGTATCTTTGCATAATTGGGTTTTTGGCAAATGCTGTGACAAAACGCAAGTGCTGTGCAAAAATCAACGTGGAAAAAAAATCAGTATGGAACAGAAAATAAAGGTAGTGGTGGCCAACCTAACTCCAAGGTTTGAGAAGCTGTGCAGCGCCCAACAGGTGCCCAACACACTTCACCAGAAAGGAGTTACGGTTATTTAAGAATGAAATAAAAATATATTATTTTTCCTTCAATTTATGTATATGTTGTTTTAAAGGGCTATCAAATTGTTAGGGCATAAATACTTAAGCTGTTTGAGCCTGACTTTTTAATAAACAGAGATGTTATTTCTTTTGACCTGGGGGCACCATGAAAAGTTACGAAAAGGGGCCACGATCCAAAGAAGCTGGGACTCTGGTCAGGCAACGAGGCACTCTAGGTTAGTGTTTCCACAACTACGTAATCATGCTCCTCACATAACTCTGCTGTTGGCACGCAGGAGTGAGAATAAACAAACTTCAGAGAAAAGGGGGTCAATAAAAACCTTCAAAGATTTCGGTGAAGTTGTAGATTTTATTGACCTTAAAGGAAAATCTTTCATACCTCAGGCACATGAACAATATGGAGCTAGAAGAATCCCAGATTAAAACTGGTGCCTGGAGTATAGATGATCAATAAATATTTACTGAGAGAACAAATGAATGAATGGAAAGCCTTACGTGAATCAATTGCACAAGGACAGGTTCCAGATTGCAAAACATCGACCTGGCCTCAACATAAAAACTTAGCTGCTGTTCAAAATCACGACCAAAGGACACCTAGAATCAAGGAGAGAGATGTTGACAATGTTATTTCTAGGCAACTGTGTGCACACAATTGAAAAGGTTTTTCTTGAGCTTGGTGGGGGAAGGGAAGGTGCTGTGCTGACAACTCACCAAAGATGCCCAGTTATGAATGGGTGGAAAGGGGATGCACGCACACACACACTTATGCTCACGAGAACATACTCTGACTAGACTTTACAACACCCAGCCCGGCACATCGCTGAAATATTACTATTGCCACCTCATCGTTATGACACGGGCACTGGAGTCGACCATGAAGAGGCTGAAGGGTATAAAACAGAATCTCAAAATGTAAATAGAATTTCCCGGGATAGAAGGAGATCACTGGGAAGGAAATAATGGAATTTTGTCAGCTGTGGCCTTTTCACAGGACATAAGTGTGGTTACTGGGAGTCGTTTGTCAGGGGGATTCTGTTTCCTGACGGGGTTTCCAACCTCAGCAGCTCCCAGTGGCTGTCAGAGCCACAAATGGAAGTTTCTCCACCATTAAAGATCCCATCTCCTATTTCTCCAAATTTATGAATAGCTGGTTAGCAGGACAAACTGCTACAGCAATCATCTTTGTCTAGAGGAGGTTTAACACTGCTATTTCCATTATAACTACCAGGTTTCACATCTTAGTGCCTCATATTCTTTTCCATTGTAACTCAGTGGCTTCAGACAAACCATAAGAGGATAAACAGGATAAATACCACATGATCAGCACATAAATCAAGGGCACAGGAGAGGTACCTGGTAAGAGCCATAGGTACATTTCCTAATGTCGCCTGAATTTTCATCAAAATTGGGATTTTACCAACAGAGTTTGGTGGATAGTTCAACTGACCCCTGCTGCTCAATCAGTCACATTTCCTAGGTTATTTTCAAAGTGACCTGGTTATTTTCATCTCAGCTTTTGTCTTCACATGCCCGTTAAAACAGAGGCTACTGGCAGCAGTTGGTAGTTAGCTTTGCACACCAAGAAAAAAGGCAAAGCTGTCCTGGGGTGGATGGTACGGCGGGTTGTTCTCCAAGAGGCTGCAGTAACCCCTCCCACTCTGCCTGTCCCCTCAGAGTCCCTGTGGGCTCTGCCCCCAGACATGGAGTCGGCCCTCCCTCCGCTACAAGGGGCCAGCCTCTGACTCACTATGATTTCTGAACCAGAGCCTCAAAAGGTCCTGCAGCTTCTGTTTTTGCCCTCACCACCTAAGAGGACTGTGATAACTGAATGATGAGAGAACAGTGAAAAGAAAGAGATCACAAGGATGAGAAGTGAGACACCTCAACCAGCAACAAGGCCCCAGGCACAGTCCCAATCCTGCCCCCACGGAGCAGCCTAGTTACCCAGCCAACCGACAGAATAAGAATGAATAAAACACTGTTATTTAAAGTCACTAATATTTGGGGCGAGTTGTTACGCAGCGATGGGTAATTCAAACGAATGGAGAGTGGGCACTGGCATTCTGCACCCAGCCTCGTTTCCACACTCTGATAAGCAGCCTATCAGGTGTTTGAGGGAGCCCCTCCCCAGGCCCATGTGCTCTGGGTTGCCCAGGTTGCCTACGTCTCCCTGGCAATCCATGTGTTTGCCTTCCCCTCGCAGCAGCAATTTGTTTAGGGATGGGCCAGTGACCCACATAAATCCAAAGGGACTGTATCCTAGGATTCTGCTGGAACCCTTCCTGCTGGGCTGCAGAGAGGGAAAGAATGGAAACCTGGAGCTCTCGTGGAGAGTGAGCCTGCCGAGGAGGACACCAAGAGAGCGGAGCCATGAGCCAAAGACACGCAGACTGCAGGCCCTGATGACACCAGGGAGACCCCGAGTCCAGCTGCTCCTTTGAAGGGTTCCATCTCTGAACTTTTGTCACATGAGCCAGGAAGTCTCCCTTCCCTCCCCGCTTTTGATTTTTCCCTTAAGCCAGTTTGTCTTGGCTCTCTTTGCCCCCAGGAGAGTGTTGGCTAATGTTAGAATATTTTCTAATTTCATCTTATCTCAATAAAAATGAATAGCACCAGGGAACATAATGCTAACTGCTTTCACCCGAGTAAAGATAACAATTACATCACATTTCCAATTACACTGGCACTCCTTCCTCGACACTTACCATTTTTATAAATCCATTAATCAAATATGCCAGCATTCTTTTCTCATCCTCAAGAGTGAGTGCACTAAAATCAATAATGTACATAATTAACACTGGGTAATAAATGAGTTTCTAAAGAAAAAATGTATAAGAACTAAGCAATTTAACAGTAAGGACATTTTGCATTTTCTAGATTAAAAGTGTCTCACATCTCTCTCAAAGATGCTGTTTTCAAAATACATTTATTAATGGCAAAAAAGAAGGTAACTTTCTCTTTTGGAATTTGGGCAGAAAGGCTCCACTTCAAATGTAATTCAGAGACCTTTTTGTTCAACATGATAAAAAATTTCAAACAGGCAACAAAGTCAAAAAGAATTTTACAGTGAATACCCATATATCCAACCATCAAGATCTTACCATTACCATTTTAAAATATTTGCTTTCTCACATAACTATCTATTCCCCTTTCCATCCATCAATCAGTCTTATGTTGGTGATGGATCTTAAAGTCACAGATCTCAGTTGCTTCTATTTACTAGCAAATTTAATAAAAACATATATAAGAAAATGTCAAGGCTTTATAGTTTTGATTATACTATAAATAGTGCCCCAAATTTATTTAGAAAAAGTTTTAAGAGCCCAGAGAAAACAGAAACCAAGATTTTTGTTTGTTGTTCTAGGAAAGATAAGTATTGGCAGAGACTGCAAAACATCCTCCAATACACTAGGTCTCCTTCGTTCTCTGAGACTACATTTCCTCATCTCCTCTGCAGCTAGGTATGGCCATATGACAGTTCTAGCCAACGGGATGTGAATGCAAGTGATTTATGAGCCTCCAAGTTTTGTCCCTAAAAGAAAGCTACTGCCCACCAGGCTGCAACATGGACATAGTCAAGGTAAGCCAGCTTCTACCAGGAAGAAAAGGACAACACCCCAGAGGGATGGCAGAGCAACAAGGCAGAAGGAACCTGGGTTCCTGGATGATGTTCTAAAGCAGAGCTACCCTACCTCCACCTTCTCTACCTAGCCTCACACTTCTATCAAGAGAGACATCAACCTATTTTATTTAGGCCAAAAACCAATATCCTGCTAATATGAGTGCCTTTCTGGATGTTTTCTGTGTCTTTATTTTCATTTTTGTTCAACTAAAATCTATTGGTTCCATTTATTATGAAAAGTCTTGATATTTTGATTTTTATAACTACACATGAAGTTGAAAAGCACAGTCATGATATAAAGATTTTAAAATTCAGAGGGGGGAAAAAAGAAATACAAGTCATCTTGTTGATGGTTAAGTTCTAAAACAGCCCTAGCCAATTTGGCAAAACAATTTTCTCAATGCTTGTAACATTTTCCAGTGAATCAAGCTGCTTGTTTAAAAATTCTTTGGGGACTAAAACTTCAGTGACAAGCAGGAATTGCCTTAAGCATAGTCAAATGGAAACATGGGGGCAGGGGGACTAGAAAGCAAAGGAGTGATAAGTTGGCATTTGACCCAAAGGTAAGATCAGTGGATAGGTCTGAGCCTCAAATATACTGAATAAAGTCCTTCGTGTAAGGAATATGAGCCATTGCAGTTGGATTCTAAAGAGCTGGTTAACAACGAGAGAAGCGTAAAGGCTGCATTACTGAATGGGTGAACTCATTATACCATCTGCTGCTCTCAGGAATCTCTTGGAGATGGGGGTTTGAGTTCACTTGGATGAAACCAGCCTTTTCCTCCCAACTGAAATTCATTCATGAAAACATCTGCCACTTCATTTTCTCAGGAAGGTACCTTCAGCCTCCCTCCTCTCCTAGACTAGAAAGTCCTCATTAGCAAGAATCTTAATAGGCCCCATAAAACAATATCATTCACAGTGGCAGCTTAAAGCAGTAATTCCCTCATGTACTACTATGTGGCATTAAGACCCAATCCACGTCACGTTTCAGCTTACTTCACGGAGTCATGCATGGTCTTGCAAACGTGCAGAAGGGCGTTCAGAATGACCGGGTCTTTGGTGGGCTCGTGCTGATGCCTAGGAAACATTTAAAGAGAGTAGTAAAAGCTATGTCTCCTGAGGACAATGAAAGCATGGATTTAGTTCTTATACATATCATATTTGAGAAGCAACAAATGATCTGGTTGCACTGAACATGGCCCAGTTCACCACTAATGGGCAACATTCTGGTTTCCTCTTAATTCTTCTTTCAATAAAAAGTGTGCTCTTCTCCACATACTGTAACTTTTCATAGCTGCAAAATCCTGGTAAAACAGCTACATTTCCTAAGCCAAGCAAAGGGCAAATCTGTTTTTTTAATCATGTTTCTTGAACTTTCTGAAGTGGCCCACAACCTGGCTACAACTGTGCTAGGTGCCAGGAACACTTAGAAATTGGATTCTTCAAATAATATAAAAGGCCAAGCTCATCAAACGAATCTTTATGCAAGTAAAGTAGGTACATTTATTCCAAGCAATGGAATTAATATTTTAGGAAAACAACACAAGGAAATCTTAAAACATATTTAAGTAACATCTATCTCAATTTTCCAAACTCGGCGTTTAAAGTGACTCTAACTTTTAACTTAACCTTGTCCTAAAAAAGAATATACATGAAATCACTGACTCTACTAGTTATATATTACCTAACACACTTTAAAATAAATGTAAACGTACAACTTTTAAAATGAAATTCTCTCCTCCATGGACCACCCACAATTATTTCCTATACCACCAGCAGTACGCAGTTTGGAAAACAGATTTAATAACATGAAAGGAACTGAACTTGAAAATGGATCACAAATCTGCACACTGAAGATGGAAACCTTTCTATCTCTGGTATCTTGATAAGTATGACTTTACTTTTTAAAATGTTACTTCCTAAGTAGTTCATCAATAGATTGCTCCTTCCAAAATCACACAGGAGTAAAATGTATGTGATGGCCAAGCTCCTGCTAATACTCAGGACTTTGTCTTCTTAAGCACTAGTTAAAAACTTTTATCATGACTGCTCCTTTTATGTGGTTATCTTCTCAATGTTATCTTAGGTATGAAATGCATACACATGACTAGACCCCAAAGGGCGTACACTGATTTTTTTCTTTCTTTTCTTTTTTTCATACATTGATTTCTTATCAACAGGTTTCAAAAAGGCATCAGGAATTGAAGCTTCCAATTACAATGTGTTACACTTACTTGATAAAAACTTCCATGATGCATTTGCAAACCTCCACCCGCACACTCTCTTTTTGGAACATGTCCAGAAATGGCAGAAATTTTTCCTAAAAATAAAAATAAAAAAGCACTCTACATTTAATTTATACAAGTTATTAAAAGGAATTTGTGGGTCATTTTTTTCTTTGAAGGTCAAAAGAGTTGTTCATATATCTGAGGAAGGTCAGATGAGGACTCACCTGAAAGTAGGGAGAGGACCCTGAGGTTTTCAAAACTATTGGTATTAAAACAACCTTCATGTGCCCAAGAGATCAGGGCTGGGACCAGTTAACATTCTGGCACACCCTCTGGGCAACATTTATTTATTTATTTATTTTTGGGGGGGG